CACAGTAGGGAGGATAAAACCTTTCTTTTGGACCAAAATTTGTAATTTATATCAACTATACTATCTCAGCACTTAATTTTTATATTTGAAATAAAATGAACATTAGAGTTGAGGCTCCTACTTGTGTGGCCTGCCAGACTTTCATATGTAGAAGCTAAATAATTTTTCTTTGTAAAAAGAGCTTAATTATTTTGCTTTAAACAGAACTCATATCATTCTTGGAGGTAAAGATGGGACGGGTAGATGAGGTGGTGGGGAGAGCTCAGCACATGACCCCCTCTGGACCTGTTTCACCCACCTTCTTCAAGTCATTCATTGTATTGCCTGCATGGGCTGCTTCTCATTTCCAAAAGAAGGTTGTTTGTATAAAGTGGTATCTAGGAAGTTCTCAGTGCTAACTAACATCCTGTGGCTCAATGGAGTCTGATGCCCATTGGAAGGTCTATTTTAGAGAAAAGAAGTGGGGAAACCAAGGTACTTTTTAATGACTTACCCATGAAAGAAGTTAAGCAGAAATTGTATTTAGATTATTAACAAATTCTCATTAGTATTCAATACTAGGATTTTCAACAGGAAGTTGGTAGGTTTTTTTTTCTGTTTATTTTTTTTTTTTTTCGTGCTGATCTTGGGGCTTGAGCTGTTTTGCTTAAGGCTAGGCTGTACCATTGAGGTACAGGTTCACTTCTGGCTTTTGGTCGTTAAGTAGAGATAAGAGTTGCAAATTTTCTTGTCTGGGCTGGGTTTGAACCTCGATCCTCAGATCTCAGCTTCCTGAATAGCTACTTTTACAGATGGTTACCAGTTCCTGGGCTGGAATTTTTTTTTTCTTTTTTTGGTTGATCGTGGGGCTTGGACTCTGGGCTTGGGCACTGTCCCTGTGTTCTTCAGCTCAAGCTGAGTGCTCTACCCCTTGAGCCACAGTGCCACTTCCGGTTTTCTAGTGATTTATTGGATCCTCAGATCTCAGCCTCCTGAGTAGCTAGGATTACAGGCATGAGCCACCAGCACCAGGCTGAAAGTTGTATTTTTAAATCTAAAGAAAATTTCCTTCTGTGATGATGTTGTGGTAAAGGAGTATCTCTTAACAACTTGTGAATTTTTGTTTGTCCTAAATCCAAGTTTACGGGATGAAGGGAAGTCAGATCTGTGTTAACTTTTTCCTATGCAGCGGAGATGTGCTTCTCATTATACCAGATTTTACCTGCTTCCAGGTCAGGTTACTTCTTAGAGCTGCCTTTTTTTTTTTTTGTCCATTGTGGGGCTTGAACTCAGGGGCTGGGTGCTATCTCTGAGCTTTTTCCATCAAGGCTAGCACTCTGTCACTTTGAGTCACAGTGACACTTCCACTTTTCTAGTGGTTAATTGGAGAGAAAGAGTCTCATGGACTTTCCTGCTTGGGCTGGTTTTGAACCTTAATCCTTAGATCTTAGCCTCCTGAGTAGGATAATAGGCTTGAGCCACTGGCACCCAGCCAGATCTGCTTTCTGAGGATGCTTCAATTCCAAGTTCCTGGAAGAGAGAATTAGTCCATCTAGATTCTCTGTCTTGATCTCAGTGCCAATCAGAAATGGGTCACCTAGTGAGAATGTGAATATTAGAGGAGTTCCACCTGTTTATGGAGATAAGCACTTCATTTAGGGCTGAGAAGACATGCTTAAAGAAAGACTCTCAGGTGGCAGACTTCATCTTGCGAAGATCCTTTATTTATTTATTTGTTTGTTGGTTGTTAGGTTCTGTCCCTGAACTCTTCAGATAAAGGCTAGCACTCTACAACTTGAGCCACAACACTGCTTCCTGCATTTTCTGTGTATGTGGTACTGAGGAATCGAACCTGGGGCTTCATGCATGCTAGGCAAGCACTGTACCACTAAGCCACATTCCCAGCCCAACGAAGATTCTTAAAGAGGCAGAATCTAGAAGCAGAATTGTTAGAGTAAATAGATCTGAGTGGACCTTATCTGAGTTTCAGATAAGATTGGTGGGAGGCAGTTACTCTGAAGTAATTAGAGCTCTGTGAAAGTATTTATGTACATGAAAGCAGAAAATGCCCAAGTCTTGTGTAATGGGGTCCCCTTTCCTATTCTTTAGCTTTGTAACAGTGAACTGTTCTTTACTATACTAATGGGAACCTGTGGAGTATTTGGAAGTAAGTCCGCTTCATCCCAGCAATTGGTGCTTATAGCTGATAGGCAAGAATAGCATACACTTTTATAGTATTATTATTTTTCTACTGTGGTGTTTCTTTGCTGAATAATTTTTAACACTTTCTATGTTCTCTCTTTTCTTTTTTCCCTCCCTCCCTCCCTCCCTCCTTCCTTCCTTCCTCCCTTCCTTCCTTCCTTTTTTTGTGCTAATCCTGGGATTTTGAACTTTATTTTTTAAAAATGTTCATATTTCAGACTAAGTAGAAATGAAGACTTGGCTTTTTTCACTTAAAATTTTTTTTATTGTTATTATAAAGGTGATGTATAGAGGGTTTACAGTTTTATGTCAGGTAGAGATACTTAATTTTTTTTATTATAAAGGTGATGTACAGCAGACTTACAGTTACATGTGTCAAGTAATGAATACATCATATTTTGGACAGTATTACCCTTTCTTTGTTGTCTCCCAGTTTTTCCCTCTTGTCCCTATCCACAAGTTGTATAGTTCATTTTCAACATAGTGTTTAGTGAGTACCACTGCTTCTGTCCCTGAGCTTATGCTGAAGGCTAGCACTCTACCATTTAAGCCACAACTTCACTTCTGCCTGTTTTGGTGGTTCATTGGACATAAAAAGTCTCATGGACTTTCCTGCCTGGGTTGGCTTTTGAACTATGGTCCTACAATCTCAGCCTTCTGAGTAGTTAGGATTACAGGCATGAGCCACAAGCTCCCTGCTGCTTAAGTATTTCTTAATCTTCTCATAGAACTATGGTCCTACAATCTCAGCCTTCTGAGTAGTTAGGATTACAGGCATGAGCCACAAGCTCCCTGCTGCTTAAGTATTTCTTAATCTTCTCATAATACCTCTGTAAGAACTTCTAATAACTCTTCTTCTCCTCTTTCCCTTCCTATTTTTCTCTAAGTCTATCTCTGTGATCTTGCTGAATAGCCTAGGCTTGCCTCAGGTTTGAAGTCTTCCTGCTTCAGCCTACTGAGTACTGAGATTGTAGGTATGTGCTACCATGCCCATCTTTAGAAACTGGTAGTTCTTAAAGGAAACCTATTTCTTAAACCATGGATAACTTTTATCTTCTAGAAGGCAGAAACTGTCATAGAGTGTTGAGGTGACCTTGAGGTATTTTTCATATTTGGGAAGCTGCCTAAGCCTATGACAGGGATGCTCTAGGAATGGCTGAGTATCATCTACAGAACTTGCTGGAAATCTTGTCAGGTTTACAGTCCGTATACAAAGTACTCTTATCATTTCAGACAGCAGGAAATACTACAGAGCATAAGTATTTCAACACTGGAAGCTAAGTCCCACATTGAATGAATTTTGGATACCTACATGCATTCACATACATGCATGTGGGAATATGCATACATATATGGTAGTTAAAACTTAGCGCTACTGACCAGTTTCTCATTTTACTTTGGTCAAGGTTTGAGTATGAGGTAATTATATGGAGTTGGAACAAAGTAGTTACCTTTTTCTACACTGTGCATCACAGACTTGGTCCTTCTCTATGGTCTCAGTGTGTTGGTCTGGCTTCAGCCATTGCCCAAATGCCTCATATTCTGTGTAGTACTCACCTCTCTGTCCTGTGACAGAACCATCCTGTGATGGTTGTATCTGACATCTCCATGCAGGCATCTTCTGTCCTTTGGTAACTCTTTAATATACCCAGTTGTAAGATTTTTGTCCTGATATATTGAACATCTTTGAGATAGGGAGATAGCAGTCATTAAGGAGAGGATAGGGTTGGCTTCTTTCTCTCCTTCTCCCTCATCCCAGGGTCCTCTGTATGCTAGGCAATTGGTTGTACCACTGAGAATAATACTACCCATAGCTCCAAGAATGAGAAAAGAATTATTACTCTGTGAGTCCAAGAACTGTATGTTGGGAAAGAGGAAAAGTTCTCAGAGAACATTGAATGTTCTTTGGGGGCATGGACTGCTAGAAGAAGCTTCTTCAGGTGACAAACTACATTTGCACACTGAATTGGTTGTCCTGAGGTAGTGACTGCAGATGCCATCTTCTTGCAGGAAGCCTATTCTCCACATTGAACAACTCAAAGTGTGTTGACAGACTAGTACAGGCCCACAAAAGCCAGTCTGGGGGAAAAAATGGTAAAGTTAGCACAATAGAGTGAATAGAAGTTCATCTGGTTTCTCTGCCCAGAAAGTTCCTGTGGCCACGGCATCCCATTCTGAGCAACACTGGAAACCAAGCCACATATTACATTCCAGGCTAGTTGGTGGAACAGTGCTTGTTATCAGGAGTCCTATCAACCTCCTGGGGGTGGAGTGTTAGAAGATGCCAGCTGGCCTAGGCATGAGTTCATTCAGGCCGTTCATCTAGCATGTAGAACAGATGGTTTCCATGGCTAAAAACAGTTTTGAGGTACCCTATCTGGCCAGAATTCCACAGTTGTGTTATAGGTATTCTTGTAGTTACATACATTTCACTCATCTAATTTGGATACTTATGGGTCTTATTGGATTATACATTAGTAATCCTACTATTTCTCTCACCTTAAATAAGGAATGTGTTTAAGTTTGGTGAGGTTTACTAATTAACAGTATTTCATTTAGTTAATGGAAATCTGTTGTCCTTTAATTGATGTTAGTTGTAGTTATTTTGAGGGTCCTTTTTAAATGGACGTACATTTATTTGTTTGTTAACCAAATTGATATCTGCATTATGTAGATCCCATATTCTTGTGTTTAATAAATGTGCAACTAGGTACACTGGTTGGTGGATGGGACCACATCATAGAGGCCCAGTCCTCAGTAACCTGCCTGGGGTTGCCAGCAAACCTGTAACATTTCTGTTGCATCTTTTGTTTTCACAGTGAGAGAAAAACGCAAGAGTCTCTTCATAAACCATGTAAGTGAAGCTCTCTCCCTGTATTTTTCATGATGACTGTGAGATGAGCTTGTCTTTGGTGGGTGAAAATGCTTTGTGTAGTGTGTCAATGCCTAGAAGAGTGGAAAAAATGTTGAAATGTTCTTACTCTCATTTTAGTTTATAACTGAACAGGCATGGTGAGGTATTTATAAACAGTCCTGAATGGTTTTCTAGACTCCTTACAGTACTATTAATGGGAAGAGGTGTGTGGATAGTGATAGTACACAGCAAACACCACATGGGCCAAAATAAAAGCCACTTCTTTTAAAAATTTTAATCTTTAAAAAATTTTATTCTCATCCCTAATTTTTTTTTATAGCTCAGTTCCATTTGAGCAAATGTATAATCACTTTCTGTGTGTTGCTATCTGCCTCGTCACTCTTTTTTGTTACTGTTAGTTATGTTTGTAGATCTTTGGGTAAACAAAATGAGGATACATTTAATACTTAATTTAGTATGTTTAATACTTTAATTGCTCCACTCAAAGTGTTTTCAAAAGTTACCACTAGCCTTTTGGCTATTCTGAGCAGTATGTCCCTCATCTGGTAGTCAGGAGCAGAATGTTCCTGGAGATATCTTTTTCCTCTTCCTTGAGCAGCAGTTAAAACTAGCTGGATGTTTGCTAACTCTGTCACTAGACAAGTTGCTGTCACCCCTCTCCACAAGATTTGGAATGATGAAGTAGGAAAACTACCAAAATAAGTATGCTATAAACTTTCATACTGAAAATAAGAATGGTGTATCTTACCTCTTAAAGTTTGGTCTTAGGATTATAAAGCTACCTCATATATGCATTTGCAAATCTTGAAGTATTTGGCACTAAAACTGTTAACAAAAGACACTTAAGACCATACTATTTTATTCTCTACCCCTTGAAAGTCAGGACAAGATATACTTGGAAAGAAGTTCCTAAGCTGGGCCTATGCACTATAGAGGCACTGTATGGGACCCATAAGAAAAGGAACTGGTGATTTCTTTGTCAGAATGTCAGTATATGTGTGCATATACTTGTTTTTATATATTTCACAACCTCGTCCCTGGCACTCTGAAATTTAGAAGTCCTGATATAATGTGTGTGACAATGTATGGTATAATGAAAGTATAATGAAAATTGCTGTGCCTGTCTTCCTTTTCCTTTTTTTTGCAGTATTTTCAGTATTTGTAGTATATACTTAAATCTAGCTATGTGCTCATTGAAACTGATTTTCTAAATCCTTCCTTTCTTGCTTACCTCCTGCATCCACCTGAACATTTTCCATTTGCATATCTGCAAACAGCTTGCAAGGGAAAGCATAGCTGCAGTCAGGCTACCCTCATTACTGACTGGAGCTCCACTCAAAGTGTAGTTAAAAAGGAGAGGGTGGTGGGATTGTTTGTCTATACCACTCTCTTCTGATTGTGGCTAATGAGATGGATGTGAAGTCATAGTTTTAACTCGCATATCATTTTCATATACTCCAATTTAACCTCAAGCTTTGTGTCCTACATAGTGTGGCACCTGCCACACTGAAGTCCAGGTCCACAGACTAGGATGTGGTTGAGGTTGGTAGCCTGTGTGTTCTAACTCAGGCTATTCACCATAAGTCAGCCCAGCCTATCCACATCAGCAGAAACTTTTCCCATTGACCAGTGAAAACACACAGTTGCTGAGATCTCTTAGATGATAAGAAAGCCCTGTGCTTACTATCTTATATAATACACAACCCTGGAACACAAAATGACCTCCTATCCATACAGAGACCTGGTTGTAATAAGCACATGTGTTCTGCCTATGGTGAGACAAACCACTGAAGTCTGACTGTATAGCTGTCTAAAATAGAATCACAGTGAGATTTCTGCAGGGTTGAGTAGACTAATAAAGCACTGTATTTTTTTTTTTTTTTTTGTGGACTTGGGTGTAACAAGTTAGGAATAGTATAAATAGGAGAGTGAATGGTAATTATCAGTATAGTCTGTGAGTGCTTTTGCATGTGTGCTAGGCTCTGTTCCAACTGATTTAGTTAGCACAGTAGTCATCCAAGGTTTATACCATGAATCATTCACAATTTACTGATGAAATCAAGACACAGAGAAGTTAACCAAGTCAATAGTGGACCCAAAATCGAAATTTAGCTCTCATCAAATGTTTGCCGGTGAGACCCTGTGAATAAGATGCTTACCTGACATTAGAAATAACATGTATAATTAAAAAATTATAGGACAATCTGTGGGATGAATTTTTGAATATGAATCTCAAGTTAAAAAAATCTTAATTCCTTATTGAATTTCAAAATGACAGGTTGTTTTTTTGTCCTTGTTTATATAACCTCATCCCATTTTAATGCACATTGTAAAGAATGTTGTCTTTGATTTTTCCCTAGTTTCTGAAGAATCTTTTGTGTTCTATTTGCCTTGTTATATGGATTATTCTTTCTTCACTTTCTCCTTCAAGCTCCTGAAGACTCTATACTCCTAGTACATTCCAGCTTTGGGTAGTCTACAAAGAGGGAGAGGAGCCTCACTCACCCTCTCACGGATAACGTTGACTATAGGGCAGAGAACCTCTTCAAGTGGAGAGAAATCAGTGAACCCTGAAAAGAGTAAACATTGTTTCACAAGTGAAAAGAGTATAAACATTGGAAAGTGGCTATAGAAAAACTGGAGGAGTGGGGCTTTGGCTCAGAATTGACTGTTTTTGAATTTTTGGACAGTACCGGTGTTTGACCTCAGGTTCCTGCTTGCTAGGTTGACGCTTTATACTTGAACCATACCTTCAGCCTTACTTTTTTGCTGTTTAATTCTTTTGGAGATGGAATCTATCAAAATTTCTGCCTGGGTGACCTTAAGCCACTATCTTCTAGATCTCAGTCTCCTCAGTAGCTAGGATTACAAGCATGAGGCACTGATGCCTGGTTTGATTGGGAGACTTAAGAAGATTAAGTACAAGTGTGGTTGCTTCTGAAAACTTGATTACAGTTTTAAAAGTTTGAAACAGAATAAAATAGTCTGGGAAATTTGGTATCAAGTTAAATTGAGGTTAATTATAAAGATTAATATTCTAATCAGAATCTCTGTTTTAGATGTAATTAGAATGAACAGTTATAGAAAAGAATTTGATACATTATGAAAGGTAAAGTCTTATGTAAACAAATATATTTAAAACTTGTCCTTTAAAGTTCGCTGAAGTTTTTTTTTTGGTCCAGTTGTGGGGCCTGAACTCTGGGCCTGGGTGCTGTCCCTCAGCTCTTCAGCTCAAGGCTAGCGCTCTACCACTTGAGCCACAGTGCCACTTCCAGCTTTTTTTTTTTTTTGCTTATGTGGTGCTGAGGAATCGAACCCAGGGCCTCATGCATGCAAGGCAAGTGCTCTACCACTGAGCCACCTTCCCAGCCCAAGTTTTAGGTAGCTACTTTAATAAATAATGTGAAAATCTCTCAATATACATTGTACACTATACTTTATAACTTTGTAGGCACCTGCAGTATGATAACATCCCTGAACCTCAAGGAAAACTCATGCCTTTTATAGCATAATTTTTCTGTGACATCTTCCTGCCGCATTGTGATAGAATACCTAAAGTGAATCTACCATTCTAAGAAGTTAATTAAAAACTGAAGGAATTCCAGTAATGGAATGACCAGCCACTCTTTTTTTTTCCTTTTCGTTTTTAGTCCTGTATTTTTAAGAAAATCTAACCAATGTCATCACATCTGTTTTATTTCTTTTAATATTTTAAGTAGTTGTACAAAGGAGTTTCAATTCACCATGTTAGTTTATGAACGCAATGCATCTTGATCAGTGTCACCCCTTTCATCGTTCTCCATCTCTCTAATCCCATCTATCCATTCAGTTTTCCTAGTTTGTTTCATATATATATATATTTATATCTATTTTATGTATACACGTTCACACACATATTAATATTATGACTTCATTCTCCCATTCTTCCTCTTCATTCATCTAATCCTTACCCCTTGACATCACCACTCAGACACCTCAAGTTCCAGCTTCCTGGTATTTGTTAGTTTTCCAAAGAACTTTGTTCAAGTCGTAGTCCTGGGCAGTCTTGGGAAAGTCTTGTCTCAGTTGTCTTGTCTCCTAGATTGGGTCATAATTCCTGAAGGTGATTTACAACAAGATAGAAATATACTGATGTTACTCATTGTAGATTGGGTAAATTCAGTTTAACTTTCCACAATCTGTAACAAAACTGATGAAGTTTTTCTTTATTTCAAGTATGGATATAAATATATATATATATATATATTTCCTTTTTTATAATTAATAAGACCAGGATTCCCTAGAAGTATGTTTTGTTTACTTCCTTTTAAGACTACTGACGTTAGTAGCTTTTATTCTTCTTAAATAGTTCAATTTTGGGTTGATTTCTGCCTTTTTGAGTGAGATAGGAATGAGACTTTTTGTAAATGGTATCTTTTCTCATTATATTCTTTTTTTGTTGTTGTTGTGGTTTTGTTTTTTTTTTTCCCGGTTGTGAGGCCTGAACTCTGGGCCTGGACACTGTCCCTCAGCTCTTCAGCTGTAGACTAGCGCTTTACCACTTGAGCCACAACGCCACTTCTGGCTTTTTCTGCTTATGTGTGCTGAGGAACTGAACCCAGGGCCTCATGCATGCAAGGCAAGCACTCTACCACTGAGCCACCTTCCTAGCCCCTCATTATACTCTTTATCTGAGAATTACAAAAGAAATTATATGACTGAAACCGAGGAACTGATATTAAAAAAAAATTCTAAATCTTGCTCTGCCTCTATGAAATTTGCTTTTAATAGAAAATTATCGACTATGTGGGTGTCACTATAGCTATGTGGAAAGTGAACAAAAATTAACTTCAGTTAATTTAAAATCTAGTAAGATTTCTAGTTCATACAGTAGTTAAAACAGTAATTTTAAAATGTAGATTTTTTTTTCACATGTTACTAAAACAAACGTCAGATAATGTGGAACTGTGGCCACTCATTCTGTTTGATTTATTTCTGCT